ACCATATTATGACCAACATATTTCAATAAGACTGAATTTGTATTTACCCTGATTACGTTTAATAAAAATACATTTTAAGTTTAATTATAACGCCGCATGTCCTCGATTATACAAACAACGAACAAATTATACAGCGAGCAAAGAACATTTACATTATCAAAGAATATCACTGAATTCAGTCTAGCGTGAGTGTAAGCACTCTAAAAAAAAGCTATAAGTTATAATCAGTGATGTTGTCTGCAGTGTATTATGAATTAGTCTCTTATATTTACATCGCATGTAGCCTACATCTGCACTTTGTTGTTTCTGAGAGAATTCGCCAAAGTGCACTGAACAAAACTTTTGCTTATCAGCGTTGATAATACTTAGTAAAATCCCCTTCAATAGAAATGTTAAAGAAACAACCCATTTCATAAGGCTGTTATTTCTCAGCACCTCAATACGCGACTGTCCAGGACAGATAACTCCCTCCTGCTGCTGGCACTTCTTATGCAATACTGGCCTCTTATGATGCTGGGCACTTATTATTACACAACTCTTCCTGTGCACCACTGACTAAGGAATGCACAAACAAAAAAGGTGCAGCACTGGTTAAGGTTTGACGTGAACTGCATAGCTTACATTGTTTCAAAGGTTTAAGAACATATGCAACTGGTGTCCTGTAGACACCAATTAATTATAGAATAATGTTAAACAGATGGCATTTAAGAACATTCATATTACAGTTATGTATGGGAACAGATGCTAATGAAAATTTTTTTTTTTTTTCCTTCATGGAAAAACACTATCAAATGTCTACACTAATCAAGTAAGGAATAAGCCAATAACAATGAAAGTATGAGACATATATGTCTTTAATAAGTAACACAAATAGGAGAGCTAACTGTCCTTTTTCTTGTGTAAGTAGTTTTTCCCTGTATATAGTACGGGAACTTACTGTTAACCTATTAACAGTTTTTTCCGTAGCGTTTTTACAAAATTTTACAGTTAAAATTACACTTATTTTTTACAGTGTTGCTATATTTTACATGGCTCGGGCTGTTCAGGAAATGGATGCTTTGTGGCCGTTCACAACGAGCATTAGAGGAGAGCACACAATCAGTTTGTTTCCACAGCAATAAGAGAAGGTGAAGGGGCACAGAGTTATCTTGTCTGTTAAATAAGGAAGTGTCTTTGAAAGATGACTGGAAGTGGTGCTTTAGCAGCACCTTTTCCTCACTCTAGCCGCCGTGTGTGACTCTATGTGTTTCGTTGTGAACTACTTTGTTTGGTCTTCCAAAAGAGGATACAACTAGAAATCAGTGGTTAAGTTGTATTTATAACACTGTTCCAGAACAGTTCAACCCAAATATTACACCTCGCTTTTCAGACCGATGAGCTTTGTAAAAATCGACGCGTTTCAGAAAGGTGGGGCATAGAGGAGCAACAATAATGTACAGTATGTGGAAAATAATGTGTTTTTTGAACCTTAAACCGCATAAACACATTGCATTACACCAAATACACAACATAATGTTATTTTTAGCAACGTCATATGACCCCTTTAAAACAATTTTTGCAATCAAGCAGCATAACAGACTGTTTTGTAGAGCTAAAATAACTGGAAGCGGATGACACTGGAAGCCTCGCACATTTAAGTTACTAATAGCTGTGCACAGCCACTCTTAAAAATAATGTGGGTAACAATTATTTATATGTTAGAGCTGTCAAGATGGCTTTCGAAGACCAGGTTGCTATATGCAGTGGAAGGTGTTGAAGCCACAACCTCAAACCGAAAAGAGCATGCCATCAAATTTCACTAGGTTCACAAAACAATATTTATTTTAACAATCTCTAAAGCACTTACTACTTTGATTTATTTGGCAATAAATAGCATTCTGACCAATTTATAATTCTTTATCATTACGTCTAATGTCCAACTTTTGTAATGCTATTTTAAAACAATTGTTTTCAAGGAGACAAAGATGGATATTTTTGGATATCCATCTTTTCATATTTATTTCTGGAACGGTACACACTGAATGTTCTTGGCTCATTACGAACCAACTCATATGTCATGGTTTGTGTCTGTTTTTTTTATAACTTTTATATTGATATTTTGGTCTGTTAGTTTCCTGTTTTAGTTTCATGGTCATATTTGAAGATTATTTATGGATTAGTTCTTTCATTGTCTCCAGGTGTTATATATATAGTGAGTCCCATTGTACTTTTTAGGTCTTGGTTGCGTTCCCTGGCATTTAGTTAGTGTTCTCAGCTCCAGTTCTTGTTTGTTTAGTATGTTTGCTGTGTTTCTTGTATTTCCAGTGTCTTGTTTTGCTTTATCTTTATTACAACGTTTTGTCTGCATTTGGAGTCCCCGCTTGTACCTGAGTACACTCTCGTACCATTAAAACCGCCACACTGTCAGACACTGAGAAATACGATGGATAGGGTCAAACATGAGCCCAGTTACACTTCTATCTAGTTTCCCCTTTCCCCATAATAACAACTTGTAAGCTCCCCCTGAGCAAGTAAATTGGGACAGAATATAGAAAAAAGCTCTGAAGTATGTACCAGAGTGTGGTAATGAATGTGCAAATGTTTGTGGAAAGAATAAGGGCCTTTGACTAATGAAAAGGACTTGTGAAGCCGACCTGGGGACTGTGTTACTAGTTGTAACCAGGGTGACCAATACTAAAGTTGTTCGTTTGTACTTGGCCTTTTCTACTATTTACCATGGATGAGGACGAGGACACAAAAGAATAGGATTTTATAAGGTTCAGAGATGTTGTAAGATGATTACAGTCACTTTGAAGCCATGCAATATACCCCATAGATGGAACTGACATAAACACAGAAATGTGTGGCTTGATTGTGTGTCTTAAGGAACAATACATGAACTCAAAGTGCACAACAGTTATGCAACATTTTTTTTTTTAAGGTTTAGTGTTTTTCCCTGATATATTCAATGTATTCATCAGATTTTTTTTTTCAATCTCTACACACTTTCATTTTTTAATGTATGTCACACAAAACAAAATGCAAAGAAAGCTGCCTTAATTAATTGCTTTTTGTTATGGACATTGGTAGCATTCCAAGAACTTACCTAACTTGTAGAGTATCTTAAAAAGAAATGTCCATATATGCTATTAAGTATTTTAGTATTATATTAAGTGTTATAACTGTTGGTGTCTAGTTATTTTGGTCCACTGATGACAAAATAATAGTCTTATTGTATATGGAAAAAGAAGAACATTTTCCTTTCCCTGGTTCATTTGTGAAACTTCACCTTAGAAGTGTTTTATTCTGTTAATTATAATGCATGCTCATTGCGTTAGTCACACATACCTCTTCTGGAGAGTCCAGGATAGGTGGCAGTGAACTGACATGATAAATATCTTCAGTTTTCATTGTCATAATGCTATGAAGATGTAAAAAAGGTAGTTGACAAACTACACGGAAATGAACTTTTTGCTTGTTTGTCTGACATTTGAGTTGAAAAAACAACAACATATAGATCTATCAGAGAAATACATATTTGATTTGTTTTAGCTTTGATTAAGTTTTCACCATAATCACCTTTTTGCAGTTGACTTAAATATGGTAGGATAAATACTGTAGCTCTCAACTGATATGAAGTCAAAATGCATATAAACAAAGTAATTTTGGATAGAGCCAACAACCGAGATTCACCATTTTGAAGGTCTTTTGTTATTACACATGGAAATACACTTAATTCCCATACACAAATCAAATAATAAATCCAGTAAAAAATAGACTCACCAGTTATTGAAGCTTTCGATATTAGGTACTAAACCAAACTAGTGTTTTTATACGTCTAAGCGTCTTTGAATTAGAAGAAGCACCCCACAAGCAAACAGCTTTTCTAACAGCTAACACAGTTGTGTGTTAATTGCTGTACGTGCATTTGTTATGACCGACGCAGTTTCCTAAACCTCAAGAATTAGCAATTTTCTGAAAGACTAAGTATATTTTTCGTTGTTAAACTCATCTCCACAGTTACAGCTACTCCACAGAAAGAGTTTCAGATCTGTGTTTAATTGGTCGTTGCCATGGCGCGAGCTTCACAACCTCAGTCCTTTTGATAGCTTATAGCCCATTCATTTCACTTTGTTCATTGTAGGCGCGTTGTGCTCAAGTTTTTCCTACTTACATTAATATTTGTAAGAAATCTCCCCATTTAAGGTTTGTAAAGTCTAGCGGCAGATAAAGGAAGGACGCGCGATCTGCCGTTCACATAAAATGTTTGCTAGCTTTTTATGTGTTTCCGTTTTATATTCATATTCATCATGTGTTTTGAAGATGTAAACAATTGACACCTAGAATTGTAGAATGTTAGAATTTCTAGAATTGGAACGTTAATAAAAATCAATGTAACACTTGGGCCTAGAGAAGATTCTGTATCGCATACCCAATATAACCAATAGGGCCTAAGCTATATAGCCATTTTAAAGCTACTGGTCGTTCACAGATGATCTTTCAATAATAATAATAATAATAAAAACACGTCTTTTCGATTTTATTATCAGAACCCTTAAAAATGACTTGGAACAACACACAGCATATAAACACACCTCCACATTGCAGAATAAATACTGTACACGGCTGGTTCGTCGATCAAACAGTCACCGAGTCCATATTACACACAAACTTTTAACAAGTCTCAGATATTAAGTGTCTATTCTAAGGCTTTCAGACAGTGTCGCCTTGATGGCTATTGTTTTCTGGCACAAAGGAAGGACCATGGCCTCTGGATGCCTTTCAGCGGTCGACATTCGCATCCTCGTCTCCGTTCATTCTCCGTATTACTTCCACAGATTGAAACAAACATCTGTCATTCAGCCCAGCAAAGTGAAAACAATAGCAATGTGCAAAAACACGACTGCTTCTCAGTCAATGCGTAAAGGTAACCTGCAAAAATTCTCTGAGTGATCAGCAATACCTCTCAATGCAGAAAAAAACATTCCAGTCAGTCCATTAAGACAGCTGTGTGTGTGTTCTTGCGTTCAGTCCGACATGTTTATTTATTGTTGCTTTATGTGCGCTGCGTCATATGGACGTTTTTGGCCAGTGCATCGCGAATTGCGCCATTAGGTTTAAATGGCGCGTCAAGGTGAAAACAATCATTTTTTTTTTTAGAACACATCTGCGTTCTGTTCCAATAACTTCACATATAACGCCTTCTTTCATTAAATCTTCTCTAATTTGGTCTAACTGTTGGTCAATGTAAACATTGCGACGCAATTGAGTTTTTTTCAGCGTCTTGTGCGTATATGTGCCAAGATTTTAAGTCGCACAGTCAAGTTAAAAACAGTCCGCTGTTGCGCTTTTCAGGTGTTTGCGAACACAAGAACGCGTCCTGTGTGCGAGAGCCACATATGCACACAGGACGCGTTCTTTCTTGTCGTTTGCGCTGTTTTTACCTAATTCTTGCTCTATCTACACATGCACCAAGCGCACTTGTCCAGGTGAAAATAGTTCAACTTTTACAAAGGCGTCTCAATATTCTATATTACATTGCGCTCCGTCCAACGCAAGAACGCGTTCGGTGTGAACGACCCTTTAAACAACATTATTATTTCTAAAAGCAAATTAGGTGACTTTTGTGTTTGACACATAACTCATGAACTGAAGTCTTCACAGTGGACCTTTCGTTGTGGAATGAAGTAGGCCTAGTTCAGGTTATCAGCTTTTAAGATGAGGCAGAGCTGACAGTTTATCCACTTTCCCAAAAGCAGCAGCACTCTCCACACCTTTGAGCCACTCTTTACATTTCCGCATGACAGTCTCGTCCACGTCTCCATCCTCCTCCTCGTACTCCACATCATCATATTTGTACTGGTCGTTGAGGAGGGAGATCTTCACAATGGTGCTAATGTCATTGGAACCGTCCAATTTTGCAACAGGTCCGGAGCTCTTATTACTGGAGCTGCCCTGAGCTCTCTTGGATGGGAAAACCCGCCGGTGTCGCAAGTCCGCGGAAGCGCAGCACTTCTGTTGCTTGGCCATCATCTGCTTTTCCAGATTGCGCTTTTGGATGACCAGGATGGCTTCGGGGGTCAGGCTGAGGGAGAAGTGGATCTCTTGCTCGCCGCCTTCTTTTGCTAGAGAGTTCCTGGAGGCGTATTTATGGCTGGACTCTCCAGAGCTGGACCGCGGGACGCTTTCGCATGAGGTAGCCAAGGGTTTGGGGACGCTCAACCACGAATGTTTGCTGTCCGTCTCGTGATCTGGAGGGACTCTGGTCGGCTTGCTTCGTCCCTGCTGCTTTAGATTGGCCGATGGCCACGATGTGGATAATTTATCTTTCTCCGATTCCTTGTCGTCTCCTGTCCTTTGACTGAACGTGGGTTGAGGAGGCGCGACATTGTCCCTGCTCTTCTTTTTCCTGAACAGCTCCTTTCTAGGCGATGATATCCGTGAGTGCAGGTTTATCGGTGGGAAAGGCATTTTGAACGCTAGCGGTGCGCGAAATAATGAAGAAATCTGTGCGTGAATGATGGGAGAAATACGTCCATTCGGATCTTTGGGTATTAGACGCAGTAATCCATCGCGCTCCGCATTTCACTGCTAGACTGACAAGGGGCGGGGCATCTGCGGGCTTTATGTGGTGTCGAGCAGAAGGGGCGTGGTCACAGCATAAAGATAAAAACAACAAAGCCATGCTCACACAAGTGCCTCTATGAATGTACCCTATAAAGGAAGCTCATTGCATTACACACGATGCAAAATAATACAGCCGTGTTCTCACCGTTCTAGCTGCGTAACCACTTGTGTAGTTCATTAACCATGAATGTCACGATTTTTTTAAAACTGTAGCTATATCTATAGCTTTATTTAAACCAAACACAATATTTGCTTAAAATATTGTGCTTCTAAATAAATGTTTGTCTGTTTAACATTGCTTTTCTATGAATGTAATGGCATCCATACCATATTCGGTTACACTTTATTTCGATAGTCCACTTTAGACATTCTACTAACTATAAGTAACTTTGTAACTACATGTCAACTAATTATCATTAATTTGCAACTACATGTCTACTAACTCTCAGAGTAGACTGTTAGGGGAGGTTTAGGGTTAGTAGAATGTTGACAAAGAAAGTGTTAGAAGATATTAAGCAGACAGTCTACTAATACTCTACTAACTGCTAGTTGACATGTAGTTGCAAAGTTACTTACTGTTAATAGAATGTCTAAAGTGGACTATCGAAATAAAGTGTTACCCCATATTCTTTTCTTCTTAAAAAAAATATAATAATAAGAATGGGGCCAATCCGTTAACATTACAATTATTTTAACATGATTTTAGTCAAATAAATAAATAAAAATCACTATCACTTACCAACCTTTTCATTATTTTAATTTTGGCTTGAATAGAATAGATTTAAAGCTTAAGCTAATACACACATTTTAACAAAAAAAGAAATAATAAAAAAGAAATACATAATAGGTATATTTTTACATTTTAAGCTCCGCATTTTTGCTCTCCATTTACTTCTATTATTCATGTCTAACTATAACCTTGGTTTTTGCTCTTTTTTTTTTAAAGAAAATAAAGTTTATAAAGACATTTTTTGTGGTAGTCATATTGAATACTGAATGTGAAATATTTCATTTGCACTTAAGTGTCCGAATAGTTTTGGGATACTGATTATCTGCACATTACCATTATTCTTTAAAGAATTAGAACAGGATAACAGATTTGAAATAGCGATGTATTGGAATGCAGCTATAATGCAGATGCAATCGATGGCACTTTTTCTTTTTTGCTTTGCTGATTGTCAATATTTTCTCCTTGGTGACCTTGGCATAGCACAGAGGAGGCTAAAGACAAGCAACTTCCATCGTTATTGATCCATCGCCCCCACCTTTCCAGCAATTTGTAATTTCACAGTGACAGTTGTTCTGTCACCCAGCCACTGTGAAGTGTTCCAGCCCCAGCCAAATGAGGGGAAAAATCAATAGGCTTATCCTTACTATCAAGCAGCACACAAAGAGAGAGCTTCATTCTCACAAACAACGTCCAACGATTGCCATCAGAATGAAATCAGAGATTACAGTCAAAACACTTTCATCTTAATCAAAATGAACCAAGATGAAAACTGATGGTTTGCAACCTGATGTGAAATGGCCTACATATTCTCACTTTGTGTTTTTTGGAGTGTGAAATCTAAAGCATCTTCTCAGCCATAGGCTGGAGGGTCTATCGACAGTTATACCCACGATCTCACCACGGTAATTACTGACACGTGATCAGCATTGTGCATAGAAGTGTGCTGTGGAGGAGGGATGCTCAAGAAAACGGAGCACTCCCACAGTTGTCATGGAAACCGCATCTGTGGAACCACAGTCTCCTTGCTTAGGCAGTCTAAAAACAGACCAGCCGCTCCAGGTTATCAGGTCATGTGAAGAACAAGTGAGACTCGGAGGTAAGGAACAAACCTGTACAATGGTCTAGGTTTATTAAACAGAAACATACTGTAGATGAAGCACAAAAAGAAAGCGCAGGTTATACGGATGGAATACCATCAGCTGATCTCCAGAGACTCTGTGTGTGATGAGACAGCTGTCTGAGTTGCCCTGGGCTCCAACAACCAACATTATTATTCTGAACACATCAGTCAGAAGATTATAACATTTGACACGTTAACTCTCGGTTAAGCACTCAAATAACATCACAAAGCAATGAAAGAACAAATTTTGAGTATTGCATTTATTCATTTGTTGTGTGGGATCATACGAAAAGGCTTTTCTCTCATTGTTTGTTAATATATTTGGTAGAAATGCATTTTTTTCTGTACAAAAGTGAAGAGTAGTAATCGAGTTCATTCATAAACATCACATGTAATAACAAGGCACTTTTTTTTTCACTGGCAGTATATCATCTATTAAGCATTTATTCGCCACACACAAAATAAAAATAACAAAAAAGCCTTAGAAAGATTAAAAAAAGTAAGGCTCGTAATAAATGCAAATATTACATATTCACCCTTAAAGGTGCAATAGGTGATTGTCTTCAGAAACATTTTTTGTTATGCTGGTTGAAAGTCTCTTCACATCCCGATAGTAATCATTAAGTTAAGTGGTCTAAATGTATTTATCTGTATTTATATATTCTGTGGAAGGCGTAGGACCAAGAAATGTTCGTCCAATCAAAACACTCGGTCCGAGCATTTTAATTGGCTTTCCTACCTGCCTGTCAAGGTATGTATTAGCATACCTCTGCGCACCCGGTTCGCGCAGACAGGATACGTCATCAGCGCGTTCACGCACGCTGTGCAGACAGAGCGAGAATGGCAGACAAACATCAACAACCCGATCTTCCTTCCTGGTATTGTAGTACTTTTACTAACTGTTAGGGGTGGGAATCGCAGGGTACCTCACGATACTATACGAATCACGATACATGGCTCACGATACGATAATACCGCGATACAGCGATGATCGATATATTGCTAGACAATTCTATAATGATACATAACGATATCTGTCTAACTATGAAAACAAAATGCCTGTGAAAAGGTTAAGTGCAAGTTTTCTCTCTTTATTCAAGTCCAAACTGTTAGAAAGCAGCACAAAAGTTCTGTAAATCAAATTTAACATGCTAAGGAAATTAATCATTTTATTCTTGGACTTACTAAAAGCTTACACTTTTCTTTGTGTGTAAACCAACACATTTAACTGCTTATCAACTCTATATATAGCCTATATATAAACCTGGTACATTTCAAAATTT